GATTCACGCGAGAAATTCACGCGAGAACGAGAACGAGAATGATCGCCATCACATTTCCAACTTACATCTTTTTCAGTCTCGACTACCCACCAACCAATCATCTGCTACAACCTTCAAAGCCCACCTATACTACCTATGGACCGCTCGTGCATTGCCGCTGATTTTCGATGTTCATCTTACCCCGAGTCTAGTATACCTCGTGCATTTTTCTCGTTATAGTCCAAGTCTCACACATCCATTTGCACCACAACGATGCTGACGATGGCTTGATTCGTGATGAAGATTATGTTCCTCATCCATCCAATTCGCAACCGATAGCCACAGGGCAGCTCATGGCTAGAGAGCATGGAAGTCGCCAGTTGTGTGATTGCTTGTAGATCAGCTTCGAGGATATTCATTGGGTATTGCTCGTCTCATACGTCAAATTCACACTCTTGGATTACTGTTGTAGATAACAAATGCATACCGCTACAATATTTCTAGCGTCTTGACCATGTCTAGAATAGAAGAAAGGTCTTTGACTTGTGCAATAATATCATGATCTGACGCGATTCTCTTGTATTCTCCGCCGCGCTGGTGCGCTAGCAAAAATGCGCTAAAGGGCTGCGCAAGGCGAGCAGCCAATCGCAAGGCTCGATCGCTCAGTTGCGAATCAACCAACTCCTGTGCTTCAGGGAGCTCTCCGGGCGAATTGTGTAATGGAGACCCGGGCGCGGACCAATAACCGTCCTCGCTCTCCATGTCGTCAACGTCAGGCAACTCTGCCAAGCCAGACGGCTCCGCGAAGTCAGGAAGCTCGAGGAGATAACGATTCCACGGACGAACAAGCAAGAATGTCTGCATAGTGGGTCGTGGTGATGAGAACTGTATCAGCTTGTCCTCCGTGGTGATCAGCAGGTCATGAAGCCCGTCGGCATTGACTTCATATATCTCCAGGTCCTGAGCGCGACTGCGTCTGACTGCTGTGACACGAAATGCGATGCAAGGCAGATGCAGTCTGCAGTTCCCGAAACGAGGTGCGTTCATGTTGTCAAGCAGAGCGTAAAGTTTCAGAAGAAAATCTACAGCTACGACATGTCGGAGCGAGGAGATCGACGTTTGAATGACATCTTCGGACAGAGATGGCACGGTGTATGGTGGAGCTTTATATGAAGTAATGTCAGCCGGTAGACAGCTATTGAATTCGGATGATTCTCCCACCCAGTCCAGGGCACTGATGTCACCCGACTGAGCTATGACCTCTTGCAAAAGTCTCCCAAGCGCGTTTTGCTTCTTCTCGCCATAAATGACTGGTAGTTTGACGCCGAAGATACCAAACAATGAGTATGCAATATCTTCCGGCCACGTGGTGACACGCGCCGACACCCATTGGAGTTTCTCCCGTGCGTCTCTCATCCCCGGACGGAAGGCGACGAGGGCCTGCGCATCTATGCCCGTCGCAACTCCCATCTCCTGCATGATTGCAAGGGAATCCTTGTGGTTGGGAGAGCGATCGTCGAGATATAGGGACCAATCCTTCTGATAAAACAGGACAAATTTTGGGGCGAGGAATTCTTGAACTGTCCATCCTCGCGTGTTCCAAGCGCTACTTGCGAGTGCACCAGGCTGCGACGAAGGTGGAACATCCGACAGGTAGATGATCGTAAGTGCGGAGTGACGATACCAGATAAACATGGAGTTGACCGATTGTTGGACCTCGACGTTGTTAGTCTGGTCGATGCAACACGTATCGATCCATGCCCAGCGATACCCTTTATCACGAGCAGATTTACAGAATGACTGCAACTTCGGGATCCCGCCAACTGGGTCCAAATCGTATACCACCTTGCCCTGGATGTCATGCAGTAACGGCTCCTTCCCTTCCCACCTATGCGATAGCATGACATAACGGAAGTACATCGCCACAACGTCTTGAATGCGCTCCATGTCAAGGTCTGCGTGCTTCGTTGTGGATAACAAAAGTTCTTTGTACTCTGCGCTCATTTTGAAGGCATTGATCTGTACATCGCGACTGCATAAGCGCCCAGTAGAGGTGTTGATTAGACGATGCGGGGCGTTGTCGAGTTGAGCCTTAATGCTCTTTTCCATAGCACCTTCTGCTTCGGATGGACTAACATACTGTTGGCGCAAGCCTGTACAAAGAGTCAACAATGTTGAAGGATGTGCTATTCGGGGGCGTACTTTGTGTTTCCGTATCGGGAGCACTGTCCAACTTCGAGAACATGATTTTGAACGCCTCGATGGCTTCATCATATCGGTGTGCCCCATGAAGTACCGCATGCTTCAACTGATATCCAAAGTAAGATGACGGGTTGAGTTCGATGAACTGCGTGTCATCAAAATGAGCGTCAGATATCAAACGGTAGCTGTCATCGCACCTTTTCCGCATCGAGGAGTGCATCGTCCCACAGCATTTTTCCCGACCTCGCCTTGCTGCGGTTCGCAAATATGGTATCGGTCGCAAAATCGAGGTCGATTGCTGCAGAGTAAAGCTCGATAGCCCTGTCGTGATTACCCGCAGCGAGGGCATCATCGCCGCTCGCAGCGAGGTCAGTCACTCCGGCGGCAGCATAGAGCACGCTGCAATCTTGCTTGAAAGCTGAGTGGAATGAGGTTGAGAAGTATACCCGGTCGACATCACGAGGACTTGCCTGTCGACCAATCAAGGCAGAGTGCTTTCGTAGCCTCATCAGCCCTATCCATCATGCATCGGTATGCTTTAATGGCTTCTGGAAGTCTACCTGTCCGAAGGAGCGCATGGCACCAATTCTGGTGTGCAGTTCGCCACAAGGACTTGAGGTCCCACCCGAATAACTAGAAAAAAGTGAAGTCGTGCGTGAAAAAATGCTTTCTAATTGCACTGCAATCAACTTACCACCACGAAGACATCATATTTAAAATGGATGGCTGACGTGGGCAAGAAAGCGATAGTGTTGACAGCAGCAGTGAAGTGGCCAGCAGCTTCGTTGTGACGTGCGTCGTCTAATGCATTCATTCCCACTTGAACGTGTAGGTAAGCCTGAAGTGCGAGATTCGCAAGATCAGCATCGACGCATGAATCTGGAGTTGACTATGTCAGGAGTACTCACTTCCACGATACCACAGGCAAGAGAATTCGGATTGGGATGAATGGTAGCTAGCTCGTGGACGCGCAGAATTGCCTCGTCATGTTGATCTGCATTGAAAAGGGCGATAGCCTGACAGCTGTCTTGTAAGTAGCACGTACATGAGACACAATTGAGGTACCTTAATCAAGAGCAGCAGACGAGTTTTGTTCAAGTCTGCGTCCACGTACATGAACGCGAGGTCAAATGCTTTCGTCGCGTCTTGGAACTGTCGTTTTCCACAGTGGGCAATGCCCTTGGAGACACAGCCCATCAAGGATGGTTGAATACTGATGCTCTATATCACCATATAAGTTGGTCTGTTAAAAAGGTCGTGACGGGACAGCGCATCTCACTTTAAGCGCGTCATCAAGTGCGCAGTCCCAGTTTGAATTTCTCGTTTGTAAAAACGAGCGATTCGCATAGGAGTTGTAGTCGTTGCCATCGGCGCCGATATATTGCGTCAACAGCTTGTCAGCAGTGATTAAGTCCCCTCTTATGCATGCATCACGGGCTGTCGTGTTGATAGCGAGGATCTGCATCACGCATGATCAGATTACGTGGTAAGAGTGAAGGCTGCAAACATGCCTCGCAATCAGACTGCTGAGCCTTGACATCAAGAATGACGATCAATATGCAAGAAGACGGACAAAGAATGTGAACCCACATTATCTGCCACTTGTTCCTTCGAGGCGTCCTCCCGTAACACATCCTTGAAGAAAATGAGATGAAGCAGGGACGGAAAACGAAAAAAAAACTTGCATGTGATGCGCGGTCCTCGAGAATGTCCTCCGGAAAAGGTACTGCCCACTTTGAGATCATTTTATCTTTTCCTCCGCTGAGAATGTGCTTGCCATCCGTGGAGAAGGTGACACAATCCACCTCATTGGTGTGCTTGAATATGGCGATGGTTCGTCGATCCGAAAGCCGCCAAACGCGAACCTGGCTGTCTGCAGATGCGGAAGCGAGAAGGGTACCAGTAGGGTTCATGGCAATCATGTAGACAATGCTGGTATGGCCTTTCCAGGGCTCACCGACTAGCTTCCAAGTCGATGAGTCCCAGATCCGTATGGTTGGATCACGGATATCACCAGCCGATACAAGGTGTTTGCCATCGGGCGTCCACACGAGTGAAGCATTCGATATTCCATCATGATGGAACACAGAGTGACCCTGAAACTTTGTGATGAATTTCCTCTTGCCTGGATTCCATATTTGGATATTTGTCTTTGTTGCGATGGCAAGATATTCACCAGTCGGCGAATATCGGACGCAGCAGATTTGAGCGTCATCACCACAGTTGATTGGATCTCCTTGCACCTGCCATGTTTTTGTATTCCAGAGCTCCGTTGTGGTGTCCCATGAGCCACTCGCCAGCAATGTGCTGTCTGGAGAAAAATCAAGTGACATTATATGTTTGGAGTGGACTTTCGTGGGTTTGATGAGAGATTCGCCGTCTCTGTTCCAGGCGATGAGCTCTCCGCCGAAATCACCGCTTGCTATAAATTGCCCGTTTCTTGATACTGCAACTCTGTATACTGGGTTGCGGTGCCCCTCCATTATCTTTAATACAACACCGTCTTCTAAGTCCCACAGACGAAGCGTCTTGTCGCCTGAGGCTGTCACCATACGGCGTCTATCGGGGAAGACTGCGGCTGCAAAGACACGCTCTTCATGACCTTCAAATGTTCGACTAGCCGTGGTGATTCGAATGGCAGGCTGATCTGCTCCCGTCATTCTGCTCGAGTTGAATGGTGTTGAGCAAAACTTGCTGGAGAGCTTGTGGGTGTTTTGATCTAAGTTTCAAAGGTGCGTCTACTGGGTCCTTTGATGCTTCTTCACAGCCTCAACTTCATATATCATTAGACGCGCAGGACCGGAGTCCTTAAACCTATATTTATGTAATCTGCAACCAAACTATAAATCCACCTTGCTCTCTTCATCAAGGTAGTTCGCCATGTCCGTCCCTCCATTCGATTCCACTGCCTACTTCATGGATGTATGGTCAAAGAATCGACATCACTCCTGCCGGACTGAGCGGGAAGTCTATAACACAGCAGAAACGGACAAGGCGTATGCACCCCTCGACTTGTTGTTCAGCCACAATCGTGATCACAATTGACAGCGATATCTGCGCTTTTGGTTTCAGGAATCGTACCATGCCACATAGCATTCGTGCCCACGATCAGTGAGGAGAGCATGGTGAAGCTGGTACCGTTCGGTTCAGGTACTAAGACACACCGCCGTTATTTAACGCGCTCTGCACGCTTACTTGGCTTGCATCCACCAGTTGGTTTAACACAGTGAGCATTACACAAAAACATGTCTCTTCATCGATTCAACAACCTCTTCCCATAGGTCACGAACCACTCGCCTATCATCTCATTTGCATACAACCACAGCTCCGGGCCGCTTCAAGGACACAATCGCGAACTTGAAGAACAGGCAAGGATTCACTGTGAACACCATCAGCGAGCCATCCGTCCAGAATGCACATGCAACTGTTACAGACGCTCCTCCCGGCGCCGACGAGTGGAACAACGGTCTGACAAAGGAAAAATACGTATGCGTGCACCTTCGTGATACGACATATGCGCCAACAACCAGGTGTTCAGGTGCAAATAAAAGCCTCCCGCATCAAGGAAAACACTTTCAGCATGGAGTGCGAGGTAATTTCATTAAGTAATTCGTACCTATATTATTGATCGGTTTTCTTAAACAGTATCATTGACAGCATAAAGTGGATGTTCTAACTCTCGCACACTTTGTGGCAGCGTTCTTGACGAGACGTTTCAATGGGCTCATGTACGGATGCTTGCCATTATAGTTCACATTTGCTATCCAAGTACAGAAGCCTCAACGTCCTCACACTCGTTCAGAGCTGGAACTCGTTATATCTGCCTGTTCTTTTACTGCCGTCAAACTGCGCCAACCGCGTGACCCCCAACAGGCTGCATGTGTTCATGTTCAGGCGCTCGCCAACTTCATAAACAGATGGTTGCCTGTGATGTGGTGGGGTCACAGCCTGAGGACGACATTCTGTATTGTCATACAGGTAGGGTCCGAAATGGTTCGGGAAGGCTGAACGAAATTGGAACTGTTCGGAAGGACCTAGAGCCGGGAACCATTCCTGCTATAAGGACCCTGGACCGAACCACAGAGAACTGGACCAAAAGTCCGGTCTGAACCGTGGTTCTCGACCAGTCCGCGGCAGCACTACCTGAGGCTGGTAGTGACGGTGCCACTGTCACTGGTGGGAGGACGGAATTCTGTGCTGTCATGCTGGCAGGGTTCTTCGACGGTCACGAGAACCCTTTGAGCAGTGACCAGCTATCACCCACTGCCTACCGTCAAGATGGTTCCAGTGTTGGGTCCATGGCGTGAGAAGCACCCCCTTTTAAAAATACAGTTCTTGATATATCTTTATCGATCATTCTATGGCCGGGCTGACGATGCACACGTACACCTGGCACACTGATACGAAGTTAACCACACCATTATTCACCAGTATGGCATTGCTATAATTGGACTCGTCAACGTCTTAGCGGCCATCTCAATTACCAGCAATCTCCTCTCACCAAGTGCCTCTTGACTGTCACTGAACGGGCCTGTGATCGAAGAACAGGCAGCTGCGCGAGAGCACATCAATAAAGGCTAAAGCCATTTTACTCTTGGAAAACCCCCCAGACAGCTACCAACACGGCGCCAAATCGCCCGTCGTGAAGTACAGCAACAGAGATCTCGGGATCGTGGCTGTAAATGAAACAAAGGTGACACGAACGAGTAGCAAAATGATCTCTGAAAGTAAATTTCGGGACTAATTTGAAGGTACTCCCACCAAGAAAGGCCGTCCGCTTGGCCGCTAGCGAATGGAGACTAATTAAAAGCTTGCAGGTCATCTGAGAGTTCTTTTCGCAATCATTATGTCCCATTTCCAGCGCTTTGCAATGCCAAGTGCGACCTTCACCATGGATTCGAATGACCTGCGATTGGCTACCTGAGTAACCAGGAGAAGGGTAAGGTATTTTCGTTCCTTTAGTCGGTTTATCTCCTCTTGTTGGACACGGACAGCTTCGCTGTCGAGAAGATGGCGAAATAATACGCAATACTAACGCGGGATAGTATATGATGCGAGGGACGGACTACGTGGAAAAACACAATGTCGTCACCAACACAGAAGGGAATCATATTGGCATGAATGAAAACAGAAAAGCTTGGAGTTCTGCCGTGGAGCACAAGTAGTTTTGCCATACAATTGGCGAATTTCAAAACTCGCAAGTTCTGCCAACAACGCCAGATGTCGGATCGCAGCGGAGTACCCCCAATATGTAGGTGATTATCGATTTCACTATTTAAACTGCTTCGTTATCTAGACAGTTGCCTGCACTCCATTTCTCTCGTCACTTTGGTCTCTTACGCCTTGTCGATACCCTCGTTGAAATATAAATCGATTTTTGTACTACCATACTTTTCCCACGATGAAGTTTATCTATTTACCTTTTTGGAAGTTGCCGCCGGCCTCGGCTATTCTTGTAAACAGCCAGACGCGTTTTGCCGCGTATTGCCAATCGCTCACTAGCATACTCAACGATGGGCAGCGCAGAGCCCACAACGCCACACGACGAACACCAATATCTCTCCCTCGTCCGCCGCGTCATAGACACAGGCGAAATTCGCCCAGATCGTACAGGCACAGGCACCCTCTCCATCTTTGCACCCCCCTCTTTCCGTTTCTCCCTCGCAGATGACACGCTCCCGCTCCTCACCACAAAACGCACGTTCCTACGCGCCATCGTAGAAGAACTTCTCTGGTTTATCCAAGGCTGCACAGACGCCCAAGTGCTCTCGCAAAAAGGCATCAAAATATGGAATGGAAACGGAAGCAAAGAGTTTCTCGAGAAGCGGGGTTTGGGACATCGACGGGAGGGTGATCTTGGGCCTGTGTATGGGTTTCAATGGAGACATTTTGGCGCGAACTACGTCAATTGTGATACGGATTATACCGGTCAGGGTGTCGATCAGTTGAAGGAATGTATTCGGAAGATTAAAGACGATCCGACTGATCGACGAATAATCTTGAGCGCGTGGAATCCAGCAGGTGGGTTTACTTTGGTTTGGTGGTCTCGCGTGCGCTGATTGTATACTATAGCCATGCCGCTTATGGCCCTTCCACCATGTCATATGATGTGCCAATTCTACGTGCATCTCCCCGCTACACCCGATGCTCCTAAACGCCTATCGTGTCTCATGTACCAGCGCTCAGCTGATCTCGGGCTCGGCATCCCTTTCAACATCGCATCTTACGCGCTCCTAACACATATGGTTGCGCATGTTACGGGGACCAAACCCCACGAGCTCATCATCCAACTCGGAGATGCGCATGTTTACCGCGACCATGTCGATGCCCTCGAGATACAACTCAAACGCGAGCCAAAATCATTCCCAAAGGTCAAATTCAGGAGGGAGATAAGTGACATTGACGGATTCGATTCGGAAGACATCGTAGTTGAAGGATATGATCCTCACCCAACGATAGCGATGAAGATGAGCGTGTAGATGTAAAACTGTAGAATGCGTTGCCCTGCTGCTACTGGATTATGATACCAGGTTGCTTATTGTTGCAGTAGTCAAAGTGTACAAGATATTATGATACCTCCTGTTGTGGTACTTAACTTTTGGTCGTGATCTGACATCTGAATCTATAGTCGCGTTGCGATGACTTCGGGCTGATCCGTTTCCGTCCCATTCATTGACACGGCCAGGCTCTCGATCGAGCACGACAATTAATTTTACAGGAAGTTGTAGCACTGGGTTGCATGTACGGCCCCACAGCGGTACCGGTCGAGATTAATGTTGAATGGTCGCTCGCCTTCCTGAGGGAGGATGCAGGCATAAGAAATAAACCCTCGCGTGTCAGATCAGCTCGGGACTCCATGTGATTCCATTGTATGACTGGTCCAACATTGGGATCACATGGCGTCTCAAGCTGAGACTACCAGTCTCGAGGACAACCAGGAAGTCAGTAAATGGAGATACTCACCTTTCCCAAGAACCTGGGTGGCGATGATATTTTCTCCTCTTGTAGCGTTGGCAGGCGTCATTCTTTTATTTGTAAAACCGGGGTGGGCTCACTCACGCTAACAATCTTGGTTCTTAAACCTCTGAGCCCCGAGGAAGCAGCCTTAGTAGCGATGCCGCACCCGGACCCGGCGGGCACTGAGGGGTAAAAGTGAGGAAACGTAAGCCAGATGGCTCATATGGCACATCTCAAAATCATCAGTGGCGGGCCAGAAGGTGAAAAACGGAATGCACACTCTCATCTTGTGCCCCGAACATGTGAAGCTACAAGAGTGCTGAGTTGACGTGGGCGGGCAGGGTGGAGAAAAGTCGACAACTGAGAGCCTCGGCGAATGTGGCTAGTAGATGCCTGATGAAGAGGGTCAGTGAACCCTTGTCCTATCCCTGCGTCATCCACGCCGCGAGCGACAGGCGTAAAGGTCAGCAGCTGGATTGTATCGTTCCATTGGTTATCATCATTTGCCTGTTTGTAGCGTCCTTGAATCTTGAGCGTTGGTACACGCTGGAGTCTTCTATCAACATCTGGGCGTGGTCACCTCGGTTAGCAGGCAGGTAAGAAGGTGGCGCATACCTGGGCATCTGTCACGATCGAGAGAACGTCAGTACGCAATCTGACGCGTAGGGAGTACAACATACAAGAAACGTACCATGTGGCATCGAGCGTGCAAGACGAAAGTAGTGCTGGTGACGCAAAGGACGAGTGTGTTATTAGGAGTCGCACGCCACGTACTTTTGCTCGAACGTCTGAAATAATGTGGTCGGCCAAAATAAGCTTTATAATAAATATGAGAGACAAGAAGAAAGAGCGGACGAGAGAGTGCAGCGGGACTGAGGGGGTTTATATAGGCGGCTGACATTATTTGGTTGTGCCACTGATACAGAGTTGTTGCAAACCTCGGACGCGGATATGTACTCAATGAATGAATTTGAAATTGTTGAACCAAGACGCGACGGTCACATGATTAGTAAACCTTCTGATCCTAACAGCGCCAAACATGCCAGAACTGAGAAATCCATCCACCTATGATTTCAAGTTGACGAGTCCTCATCAAGTCCCGATGCCAGTATCAAACGTCTTACCTCTGCCAGGGGATCGGTTCAACAATGTCCCAAGTTGTTGTACATCATGACGTTTCGGACGCGCACCTGATAGGCCGATCGTCCTGACGGTGTAGTTGTCTGGGAGCGACGCAAGTGTACTCCTAGTACTACCATTACACGACTCCAAGGAATAGTGACGTATACTGCCAACTGATATGGAGTGATGCGCTAGGAGAATGGTTGACTAGGAAATAATACTGGGCAAGCCGAACAATGCCTACTTCTGGCCTTGCCATCGCGCGCCTTGAAAGTGTTACATAGCATCACTCGATCCGCAGTTCTTGCCCAGCGGTCTTTTGTCGTGTCAAGGAAATAGCTACAAGGACAAATATTGATTCTCAAGAGGTTGTGCTCGTAACACTTTACCCTCACTGACGTGAGTATGATAGCGATATTGTTTACTTCCTGAAACTTAAAAAATATCTTTACAGGAATAGCTAATGTTGGTCTGGAGCCGAAGGCAATCCCCTCGCATTCGTTGTGCGCGTTTCGTGGATTCCAGGTTAGACGAATATGTCAATAATACGAACAGTGAAATGACAAGCGCTCTGTCAGGTACCTCGGAATGTAGAACACATAATCCACTTGATGTTATTTGTAATAGAACGTCAGCCAGACAAGCATGCAAGAAACAGCAAGAAAATTGATGCATGTAGGGACAGAATAATATTAAACCCTGACAAGCAATTAGATCGATCAAACACGCAATGATGCGATACAAGATGAGATATAGGAAACATCGAAACACACTAGGCAGCAGACTGAGCAGTGGGGACAACGCGACGAGTGCGGCGGATGCACCCGAGTGCGAGGCAAAAATTGCCCCAACAACCATAGTCTTCCGCTGCAGGTTGTTGTGTTGTCGTCTGTACCTGACTCTGACTCTGAGGCGGTGGCCTCGAAACTGGCGGCACCGCAGGCTGAGCTGTCGTTGAGGATGACTGACCAGTCTGAGCGTTAGTCTTCACAGGGGGACGCGCTACATAGATCCTCTGGAGATTCAGTTATGTATGTAGCAGAACGAGGGATACCTGATACAACGCTTACATTCTTTTTTCTTCCGGCTGAGACCGTTACGGGCTGCGGGCCAGTGGGCTGCGCGAAAAGACTTTGCTTGGGGCGTTGTTGCAGCGGGGTGGATTCATTTTCCGACGAGTAGCGACGGGAAGGGATGGTGATATTCCAGAAGCGCCAAGTGGGGGATGGGTTATGATGCTGGGAACGACGAGAGGGACCTGCAGATGGTGACAAAGGATAATAGGGCTGGTAAGTCCGCTTATCGTCAAGACTACTGCCTTTGTACAACAAAACACGAGGTTTACCGGAAAGAAGTCCTTTTGTAGATCATCTCGCTCCCCGTCAGTGAACCCATAATCCCCTGATTGAGGCTTTGTGATAGCATCAACCTATAATAGTTCCGTGAGCAATGAAAAGAATACGGTCATGCGAGAGTACTGACGTCAAGGCAAGATGGTGTTGGTGACTGGAGTCGAGTTTCCTACTGTATAGCTTGTCAACTTGTAGTATGAGCGTGAAAACACGTACTGCAAGCTCAGGAACTAAATCTTTTACCATCCACAGGGTGAGTTTCTTACCAAGTCCACTATTTGCTAGGTATCTCCCATCTCGAGAGAATGATATACAGCGAAGAGTTCGGCGGTCAATGAATGGCTGGCGGAGCAATGGTTCATGGGACACTGTGTCCCATAGTTGTGCAACACCTGGCTGGCCCACGCAGGCTAGTACATTGTGTTTGGGTGAAAGCGCGATAGAATTCACCAAATCGTTGTGCTCAAAGCGATGAAGTTCGATGCCCGAGTCACTGTCGAAAACACGCACAAACTTGTCTGAGGCGGCGTATACTTTTTTGCTATCCGACGACCACAACAACGACGTCACACTAGCCCACAGTTCCTCGATGGGGCCGACGACGAGCTCGCCCGTTTTCGTATTCCAAATGCAAATCGTCTCGTTCAACCCGCCTGATGCGATTCTGTCGCCTGAAGGTGAATACACAAGAACATTCACCCACTGCTGCCCCGTCTTGATGGGGCCCACCTCGGTTTCTCCGCTGTCTTGTTTTCGGATTAGGATTGTCCCATCTCTGGACCCGCTTGCAATATAGTCTCCGCTGGGTGACCATGACAGTGACCTTACTTCCCGGCTATGACCCGTCCAAACGCCTTCAATCATCTTTCCATTGTTGCTATCCCACCGCTGAATGCTTCCGTCCATCCTCCCACATGCAATTGTCTTTCCATCCGGTGAAAGTGCCAGTGCATGTATGCAACCCCCCTTGCCTGTCCATGGTTCCCCGACAAGCAGTCCAGTGTCACAGTCCCACTTGCGCATCGTGCCGTCCCACGAACCACTCACGATGTGGATGTTATCGTGCAAGAAGACAAAAGCCCAAACATAGTCCTCGTGGCCCACAAATTCTTGCTTCGGAGTTGGTTTTTGGGATTGGGTTGGGGGCTGAGCTCCCTCAGTGCCCGGCATCGCAGGGGCTTCAGAATCAGGGCTCATAGCTTCCACAACCATCGACGTGGCAAGGGAGTCAAATTCAGAAGACATAGCTTCCCCATCGCTCGGTGTTGTAAGGGGCTCAGGCTCACTGGCAAAATACATAGCTTCCTCAGCGCTTGGCGTCGCAAGGGATTTGGAAGACATAGCTCGTTGTTGTGAGGCTTCTTTGCGTCTTTTCCGACCCTGACTCGGTTCGTGATCAAAATAGGCAGGAAGAGTTGACCAGTACTCACTGCTTGTTTTGCTTCTTCCTCGCTGGTTGCAAACAGACAACGACTCGGAAGTGAGTCTTATGTGCGTGGCAAGCATGGATTCCATGAGGCAGCGCTAATAGTTGATTGGTAACAGGTATGTATTTGCTCAATTCAAATTGTGCGTGGCGAACATGTCATCATCGACGCACGCAGTGACCCTCAACTGTCAAACATTGCTTCTGACGCCCGTCTATTGTTTGCTCCATAGTGCTTTTCATGTCCAACTGACGTGTTCTCGCGATCTCACACGCACTTGACAATATCAGAGTCAAAACAACAATGTAACTTGTGGTACTCGCTGGGTTTGGTCTTGGCTGGTGGCCAGGGAATATCGGTTGCGTAGTTGAATGCAATGGGAGTTTGGCATAGTGCTTGAACTGCATTTCTTGTAAGTATTGCATCCATCTCACACCGGTAGCGCTAATGGTTGATTTGTAACAGGTTCCTTTGTTACGACACTGATCGCTGCTGGGATGCCCACTACGCTCATAGTATGAACGATCATTTGCTTAATTCCAACCAGGGCATCATAGCGAGCATGTCGTAACACATAGGAAGACAGACGCAGTGACCTTTAACTGTCAACATACCTCCTAGCGCCCATCTATTATTCGAACCCTGCCCCAGAGCCCATACTTCTTATTTCCGATTGACTGAGCTCCATATTCTTTCTATCCCGCACGCGTTTAACATCTCTTGGCCCATTCGAATCAGAACAATAATTCAACTCGTGATACTCGCTGTGTTTTCATACTTCACCACGAGGGCATCTGATCGAACCATCATAAATCATATTCATTGAGATTCCGGCAAGAAGACAAAACCCTAGTGAGAGAACGTCTTGTCACAAAAGCTTTGCGACAAGACATTCTGTCGCTAGGGTTTTGTCCGCGACGATCACTCTGAACCGTAACCGCTCAACTCAAATGCGAATTGTCCTTTTTGCATTTTCGTGTAGTTCTGACGTTCCAGAACAGAAATAAGGTCTTTATGAGGATATTTTCACTCAAAGGTTTCTTTGACATACCAAAGAAAGCGGTGTCAAGTGGGCTTCACACTTACTAGAAGGCTGGTCATTTCTACGGAGGACCAGCAAAGAGGAGAAGAGTGGTGAGCACAACCATGCATACCTGCAGCCACATTATCCGGAAAGTTTCTTCAATAGGATGACGAGGGTGACTGAAAGGGTGCTTTTGGGCTGAGTTCATCAAGTAACAGTAACTCACTCGACGTAAACAAAACGGGGGAACAGTACACCAATAGCCCCAGGAGCTTGTAACCGCTTGACCCGCCGGGTTTCCACAAGGGTGTCAAGTATATATATTATGTTACTGGTATGAAGTGCGAAGCGTGTTATGAAATTTGTACAGTAAGTGAATTCCTCTTTCCAACGAATCGTGAATGGATACAGGCTGAATACGGAACGGAAATGCAACGAAGGCACGAGTCTAACACTGCAAGCAGAAACCTGGAAAAAGCTAAGCCATCTATGGTGGTAAGATCACTTTGCTGACGCTAAACGCATACTCTTCCTAGTCGGGGGAGGATTGTCAATGTCCAATTCGATACTGGCCTCCCAAGTCCTCTTCAAGCTTCGTGATGATATCCTCGTCGGAGAGCGGCTCTGACAATTGGGAGGAAGCGTGGTGAATTGGTTGTCCGAATAGCTGGGTGTTCGCCCGAAAGGTCTTGAAGCACGGCTCTGAGGTACACCAAGACCGAGAGCAGACGTAAGTGCCGTTGGGGTAGAAGGTGCTTCAGTAGCGGGAGGTGTTGGTACTATAGTGGTTATTTCCGCTGCCTCACCCGGCATAGGAAGGGACCTGAGCACATGCCGATATGCGGTTTGCACAAGTCCCATGAATCTCTCTTCCTTGGTGTAAACCCTCAGGAGGAGCTCGCCAAACTTCTCGGGCATCAAAAGGGAGACGTCTCCCGACTCGGCCCGCCGGCACACTGGGGGACGAATCAGTACAGTTATCATATTGAGATACTCGATGATCACCATTTGGTTCATGCTTGCTATAGAATTTAACCTGATAGATGGGATTGTCCACTCCTCTGCCGTAGTGCATCTTGGTGATACCCACAATGACGTGGTCAACAGTGAGCTCAGCGACGAGGCTCTGTTCAACACCTTCAAGGTTGGCATTTTTAGCAGCATGGACAATTGCTTCAGGCGTGATATGTGCCTGGCAAAATTCCTTGTCGTCCCAATCCATGATCTTGTAGTCTACCCGCCGATAGAGGTCGCGGGTCTGGATGCGGTCGATGATCTTGCGCGCTGGTGCGAGGTCCTGATGCAATTACAAGATGAGACAAGCGAAAGGAGGAAATTACACAGACTCACTTCCGATTCGGTCATGTTGATGCGATGGAAGAGATCATCCGTGAGATGAAGATACTTTTCAGGCACATCGATATACTCTGCGAACTTCATGTGCTTCTGTGCAATGAGAAGTACGTCCATGATCATGTATTCAATGGCGCGAGCTATACTAATGTCAGCATAAAAAGGGATGTATGCAGAGTGATACGTACTAGTTTTGTGATTATAGATATTTTTATGCAATGAGAAACGGGTGTAGAACAGTTCGTAGACTGTGTTGGCATCCTTGATGTCATAGCATATTTGTCCGTCGATGACGCGAGCAGAGTGAATCAATCTAGATGCATGTCAAAAGCACTCAGCGAACCAATGATCTGAAGACTACCTTGTCATGGCAATGTTGCGTTTCTCGCCGACAGCGTGGCAGTCACGAGCGATGTAATCGAACCTTGAACTTCAAATGAGATGTTGCAGATGTGGAAGAGTAGAGACAAACTTGTCGACGTCAATGCCATTGAGATCGTTGGCAACGATCTCAAACAAAAAAGGCATAGTCGTCCCAAGCCTGAAGCAGCCAATTGTTCATCAGAAACTGTTGAGTCAAGTCAACAGAAACACGCACTTGCATCGCTCCTTCCTGCCAGAAATGAGTGCCTTCACGGTCTCTACATCCTCAGGCGAGATGTCAAGACTACGATACTTCTTCACCATGTCATCAAACATCATTTCCGATGCTTGCTCGTGACTCCATTTGGGGCGATTAGGACTAAAATCCAGTCCTCAGGTCTTTCGGAAACGTAAAGCAGAACCACAACCTACAGGGCTTTTGGGATGAAATGACCATCCCAAACATGGGACCAAGGCCCATGACCAAGGTCGTGGCACAGTCCAGCAAGCTCAACGCATCGTATATGCTCATCCGTGATACCCAACGACGGTTGACTCTTCTGAAGATGTTGAGCCATCATCCTGGCCAGGTGTCCAACGCCTGTTTGAGGCCGTCAGTCGAACAATCTAAGAGATATCATTACTCATACCAAGGCAATGCTCGAATCTATTGTGAGATGCTCCTGGGTACACATAGTATGAGATTCCTAGTTGTTTTACATATCTCAACCGTTGAAAGTGCGGTCTAGGAAAAAAAATGTATTGAGTTCCTTTCATTAGGAAGAAGCCAACGGCAACTCACGTGTCTATGAAGCTGCAAATCCATGGATCGTACTCCACTGTTGGACATACGGAGTCGCGGCCACAAATGAGATCGCCATGAAAAATTAACTGAATTGTAATACTCACCATAGTCGTGTACTGGATCTTTGAAGATCCTCTTGTTAGGAAGTGAGTCTTCAGTCATGTCGAATTTTTCTCCACACAACGAGCAACTGAAAGGTCAACGAAAGCTGGTATCGGGCTGTGCAACGCGGTAGTCGTCAAAGCGAGAAAGAAAGACCGGTAGTCTTTAGAGACTACAGCCGGAGTGATCTTTATAAATCATACTATACCCTAGGACGATGACGAAAGTTACGTTTCGAGAACGCATGTTTGCACTGGCACACAGACACGTGACCAATATCAATCGGATTGAGCTCGGTTGCACCCATATTATGCTAGTTGTCGAAGCCTTAGATACTCGGTTCAGTCAGTCGTCCATGTAAAAACTCCTCATCGGAAGTAAAGCTTGTCAGATTCATTCGACTGACGGGTCACTTTGGATCCTTAAGATAATAATAATGTCAGGGGTGAGATGAATTCGAGCTTCTGATGAAGCTCGAGGTATTCTCAGTTGCCTTATAGCCTTGAGCGCAGATCAATCATGGGAGCGTCACAGGTCACGCTATCAGCAAATATATCATACCCTGAGCCCTAGATTGTGAATTAAAGGAGGAAGTCCTACAAATACCGCACGGAATCCGTGAATCGCGAAAAGGGGGTTCAAAACGCTAAGATAACTTGGACCTCATGTTCCAGACAAGCCAGCATCTTTATCTGCTAGACTTGGATCATAAACAGGAACATGCCCTATAAATCAATAAGCACCGTGGAAATAGATGAGGTAGAACACGCACCATTGATATGTGGCATACCAGGGGGCGGCGAGGGGACAGTCATATTTGGTGACGGCACCAGTGAATCCATAAGTGGAACTGTACTCGCCTCTCCGCATTGTTCCTGCTGAACTTGACCGGGCTGCGAGCTTCCCTCATGAAGGTCACCATGAAGAGCAGGTTCTTCTCCTTGCCCCTGCTTTCCTGATGGCCGACCCTCCACACGCCTCACAAACTCACCCCACACGGCACGCTCGTCGGTCCCCATACCCTCAAACATATTCCGGACTGCTGCATCAGCCTTGCGATATACGCCACGGTGCCGGCACACGGTCGACTTAACATACCGGCATCCAAAAACGCGTTCGAATGACATGCGCTGAGTCGCATTAGGCGTTTGGGCAATAAGAGCATCCATCTGCCGGAAGCCGGCAGCAATTTCAGTCACTGTATAATCGTTAGGCCATCTTTTGAGTGGAGGGTGGGGGTGCTGCGGGAATGGCCCTGGCCCTGTCCGAGTGGCTGACGAAGGTGACACCACTGGATACTGCCCTGGGCTGTTCGGTGGCTGGCCACTCATCGGGGTTGGAGGAGGACCTGAGTATGGATGTGGCATGGGCGAGGATGCCTCGCCCTCAGGACTGTTTGCGTGGGATGGGCTAGCAACTGGTGGTGCACTCATTGGATGTCCAAGCGGAACCTGCGGGTACATATATCCCATGGGCGGTATATACATCGGGTGCGGGTACCCTTCCGGTGGGTATGGTCTTTTTGTGGGAGGGCCCTCTGTATGTTCAGTTGCGGGCCTCTTGGTGCCATTTTGTGTGACAATCGTAGGAGATACGGGTTGTTTCTTCTTCGACTGTAGCGTCAACTCCTCTGCGAGTCCTCGGCATTCCTCGTCTAAAAGTCCACTTAAAAGACTTTTACGGAGTTTATATAAGAGACGCTGGTCTGTCTCGATCGCACGGACAGTGGTAATCATATGTTGCTCCCAATTGCCTGTTGCATGATTATAAGTATCGACGTATGAAGCGGATGTGAGTTCCAGGTCGGAAACCACGGATGGAAAATGCGACAGCTGAAACAACGGAAAAGTGGATATCTCGTGGTTTAGGCGAATGGGATCGCAAGCCGGCTGGTAACTGGTCTAGTCACTGGGCGCAATCATTTAAGGATATACAACTGACCTTGTACCATATAACAAGCGTTATAGAACGTTTCAGTGACAGTTCCATCTGGCTCTGCTTCTCATCATTGGAGGGTTGCTCAGGCAAAGGAAGCTTCTCTGCACCACGAGGAACCACATTTGCGGACATCTGTAAGTAGGTAGATGTATGAACAATTGGAGGGGGTCGGGAGGCCAAAGTGTGCACCCTATCCATCTGTATGGACATAGCTGGCCTTGAATGCGCGGTGGCAGACGCGCTGGTTGCTCTGGATCATAGCAGACAAAAGTCAAACGAAATGGAGCCTCTGTAATGAGATCAAGAAGAGGAGAGCACTCACGACCCAAGAATCCAATGGACAGCAATAGACAAGTCCGTTGAACAAGAGACGTGGACAAACAGTGGACGAAACCTCAGTCCCAGGGACCACGTGGAAACAAACTCCGATCTCCGCTTCATGTGACGGAACCTTCTTTGATAAGTACCAGAACACCAGTCGGAGCCTGCTTGGATTCAGTTGGTTTTGTGGCAAGAAAAACACTTTTGTGACACTTTCTTTCCTGCAACTCATCCTCAATTTCAGCGAATGCAACGACTTACGCAGGGCGATTCGTCAAGCACCAAGTCATGAAGTGGGGTCTAAATGATCTTTGAAATCATACAGTCTGCATGAAGAGCTATCAAATTGTCTTTTTCTGGTAATACGTTGTGGCTCGAGAACTGGCTTCTGGCAACCGACAAAATCAACCGCGGTCAGTCTGTTAGACTGCCGGGAATTGCACCCAGCGATACAGGGATTTCAACCTATCGAACTATCAAATTGTCCACAAACCAGCGGAACCGTTGGCTGAAGTGTAATTTGCACTTGCATTTTGATGGGGATAGCCTGACCCATATTCCTCGTGGCTCGTAGAGCTCCACAGCAGACCGCAAGTGGGCCTACAGTATGTGGTCTGAGTTTTTTTTTCCCGAGTCACCTTTCGTACGACATCACAAGCCTGTCTGCTCAATTATATGGTTTGCATCTGCTTCACCTTACTTGATCTGGCATTATCGCATCAGTGGGAGTCTGTGAAATATAGCGCAATCGATCAGTCCAGGCCTTCATTTGAAATGCTCGGGATTCCAGCAGCAGCCTGTCTCCCGGCATGCCTACTACTATCACTTCTTGAACCATATCGGAACACGATCGCAGCATGAGGTTTTTCACACTCCAACAATATCGGAATGGCCTTTCTCTGTTCTGGAACTCAAGCTACGACTTCTAGCGGTACTGTGGGTCGGTGAACTTGGTTGCCGGCTTGGAGCCGGGACCGATACTTTACGGATCAGTTCGTACCTCCAGAATGCTATGCAACCACGTTCCATTCCCGAATCCATTGACTACACGGGGCACAACTTAATAATCAATCTCACAGACGCTCATCAATAACGCCAGCACAGGTTTCAGCGCAGGAACACCGCTATGTCACCGGCCTAGATTTATAGTTCACGGCCCCTTCCTGGCCTGCAGCTTCCCCTCTTTTGTATATGTCCCATCATTCTCAGCTCGAATTGTGGCGCCAAACGCCTCAGGACAAGCGATTGACAATTTCTTGTAAGGCTTTTGGTTCACATTATCGAGGCTAGATCAATTCATTCTGGGGTGTAGCGATCCATGTAACAGCTCCTGCGGCTGGCCTTCGTCGCATTCCAGCCGGCTATTATGTCGCCGTCGAGATCCACGGAAATGTTTGGAGAACAGCCGTCAAAGCGGAAGTACCGTCAAGCAATGTCGTGCAGTGGGATCAGATTTTTGTACTGTGAGTGCTCGGTTAGACGGCGTTCCGTGAGAATACTGAAGCTGCATCTCAGTCCTGCAGATGGTTCAGTAACAGTGTCTTTGAGAATCTTTGCAGCCTTCGAATTTGAACGTATGCTTGGGCGCGGCGAGTTGATGCGCGAGGCTGAGCTCACAGTGGGAGAACTTTTGCATCACAGCGACCAATCCCTACGTGAGTTGGCGGCTAGTTTGTTCTTTGATGCCTTTTACTCAGATGAAATAACCTTCAGCCATCTTATTCTTTCCCGATGGGGGTGAATCACCATCTCTCCTGGTAAAGGTTGACCGAGGCCTTGAAGACGAACCCAATGCAACTCAGTTTGGCCAATGCCACTCCGTAAGTGTTGTCAACTCCACAAGTATGTCTGCTATCAGATTGACATCCCAACCAGCCCAGACCTAACGAGTCACGACTTCTCGGACAAATGACGGAAAACCGGTCAGAATCTCCTCGCATGCTATCGCCGCACTCGTTGCATCTCAGACTATCACGCAGCCACGGAACAGCTGCGCCTTGCGCTTGATTATTGTGGCAGTGACCACCCTGACCGTGCAGCAGCATTGACTAATTTAGCGGACGCTCTTGTGAATCACCCACATATTGAAGAAAGCGATAACGCCATCAATGCCCCTATTTCGCTGTATCAGGAAGCGCTGGAGCTTCGCCGATCGGGACACCCAGACCGTTCCTTGGCAATGCTCAAGCTTGGACTCGCATTGCTATACCGTTTTCAACTAAGGAAAAATCCTGCAGATGTAATGGAAGGTCAAGACCTGCTGAATCGTGCAAAGCGCGTCTGTTCGGACGACAACCCCGATATCGAACCCGTCATTGACACAATCAGGAGCCCCACTCCTACCAATACTTCAAAGAGTCACCGCTCTTCGGCGATGCCTCCATCACCCCCTTCACCGCTTTCACGAATGTCGATGAACTCCGCAGCCTCACAGCCTCATACATTCCCAGGAGCACCGGGACGCACTGCTGACACATCAACACGTTCTGTTCCGGCGTCGATGAGAAGCATGAACGGTGAATCACTGCTGCAGCATGGTCAGGCAGAACAATTCGGAGATGAGAAAAAGTTTGCCGCAGATGAAAGTGACGCATCACCACCAGCCTGTCAGCCCACACATCCTCGCTTGCAATCGGGAACTCTATACACAAACTCTGTTATGATACCCCCTCAACTCCTGCCAGGAAGCCCGCGCAGAGAATGTGGCACGAAGCTACTGGCCCCTGATGTCGAAATGCGGGTAATACAACCACAGCAGGCTATTAAATCTATCTCATCACCGCTCACACCCCATTCGTTTCTCCCCTTGCCGGTACCAGCTGCTCAGGCCCCAAATCTGCTCGCCTCTAACCTCCGCATAGTATTTGTTGCTGTTTTGATGTCTCTATCTATTCTCATGTTGATGACGTGTCCATTGGATGGGCTATGGTTTTGATTAATGTTATTATTGCTACCTGCATTCACATCTGTAATACTAGGACCGCGCATAGAATCTGTACAATAACTGTAGCATCAAACTGTATTTTCATTATGATATCCTCGCACTGCATATATATATTCACGGCGTAACTAAGTATACCATCTACGTTGCAAGTAAATATGCATCTGGATTCATGAACGTTGAACATGCAACGAGCACAGAACGTGTATGCAGCCTCACCTACTCGGCGCCCGTTGCGTGCCTTTTGTGGTGTTGTCCGCAATTTCATGTTTCTAATGAATCTATGATAATTATATCTTGCACTGGGTATCTGCATAACTCTCTATCTATTTACTCTTCAGCATCCCAAATAACTTCCCTCTTCGCCTCCACTGTCTTTCTCTGGTCCCTTATTCCCGCCCAAACGCTCAACCCAAGTGCAATCAAACACGCTGTCGCTGTTACATACAAACTCGAGACATAGCAGTCGCGTCCATCAAAACATTGGTGTTCGCTTGGAAGACCGCCACGCCTTATCAAAGATAAAGGTGAATGCGTCTCGGTGTCATCGTTCGAGGCGTGTGAATCGAGGTTGCGCCCAAACATAAGCGAGAAAAGATTCCCTCCCACTAGTGGACTGAGTGAGATAAATCCCCAATTCTCCGAGAGATGTGCTGGAATAACTCATGTCAGTCCTTTTTGGTGTCATTCATCGGCAGTCAGTCCACTACTCACAAAGCCCAAACCAGTCGATGACGATCGTGGGGGCAATACCGAACAGACTACCGTATGCGAGCCCAAGTAGCGCGGTTGCTTTCCAAAGATGCGCAACGTCGTTAATGCTAATGGCAGACAATTGAGAGACCACAAAGAGCGTTGAAACGATGCAAAAACAGTATGCACGAGGGAGACATAGGCGAAATCGGATCAAGTCCGCGATTAATCCTGGCGTATCGAATAAGTGAAGATAGTGAGGTAGAAGGAAAAAGGAATGAACCAATAAGAATTCGTCCTGCAAAGTTGCAAACACTGAGAGTTGAAACTTGTGCGGCTTGCCATCGCAAAGCTTCTAACTCGTCGTAGTCAGGGTTCCCTTTGGCATACAATGCCTGAGATATGGAGCCAACATTATTGATATCTGCAGAACTTCGAGTGAGGCGACGCCATTGACCTTGATGAAAAACACCTACACATGATCCCAGTTCCACTTACTAATCCATGATGAAGTCGGTCACGGGATATTAAAAACAGAAAAACACAACTCACGAAGCGACATGATAAGAAAAACAAGATAAAAATCTGGGGTAAGCCACAGTTGCTTCCCATAGACATTGGGCCCATCATGCACGGGCTTTGCGCGGCTCGTACTCCTCCTGACACTTGACCCTCTCGATACAATCCGGTCCGGCACAAGTTCCACCGTGATTGATGGTTCGGGGACGTGATAGTTTGATGTCTCGTGTACTTGTTCCGTGGGATCAAGAAGGGAGGTATGACTGTCATTCCCACGAATAAATAGAGCGGCATCGCCGCTCGGAATCGGCTGGTATTCCTCACGTCCACGCAGGCCCCCTTCGATGCCAATTGTGGTGCTCGGGGGAGGTAACGGTATTTGACGGACTATCACAAGACCAAGAAGCATGGGCATGGCGGCGCCGAGGCCCAGGACAAGGAGGAGAGCAGATGTGTCGCCAGGGAATGCGAGACTGGCGACTGTGGCAAAGAAAAATGCGGATAAGCCGAAACCGGACAGAACGAGACCTGTTATAGTTCCGCGCTGCACAAAAGGTCATTGCATCAGCGTGACTTACTGATGCATGGATCACAGTACGGAAACAAACCGAGGTTTCAGGGAAGCTCTTAGCCGTAGTGTTCATAGCAGCGGCAAGGCCCGCATTTCCAGCCAAGCCGGTCATGAAACTGCAGGCAATGAGGATGACAAGATGCATGAACGATATTGCTGTTCCAGCACCATCATCGTAGATGTGCTTTATACCAAGATATCCTATGACGAGGCAAGCAAAGGCACTGATAAGCGGAATGCGGGGACCCTTTGAATCGACTACTCGACCCCAGGCTGGGCCGCTCAGATATACACCCACTGAATGAAGTTTAGGGTTTGGTCGAGTTGATTTGAACGAATCGCGCACCATTCCCTGCGAGGCCGATAACATTCAACCGAGTGTGGGAGAGCAATAGACGTGCGCCTAATTGTGGAGCATATGCTGTGATAGGACATTACACCTAGGATCTTACCGACACACGTACTACTCACCAGAGTATATCTGATGCGCAGCAGAACTACTTTCAATGACACAGATACATATCATGAAATTTTTACATACATAATTTGTCCCTGAACTGAGAGATACAAGGATAGAGCCTAGAAGTGTCAACATTCGCGGCGCGCTGAGCAGCGCGGGGGGCTGTGGTTCCATGCTTGAAGGGGTCAGACGACCTCACAGCAGCCTTGAGACTACGAAGCGTTGGATCGGCGTTGTGTTCGTCGAGCTCACCAACGATGATGGCGACGACAGCAAAAACGAACGTCGAAACAAAGTCGGAAGTAGATGTGTCCCACGGAAGACAGAAAGGTTGGAACTTGAGCTTGAGGCCTGAACTTCGCTAACCCGGAGTTATGTGACTTTCGAGCTTGAGAAAGTTTAGAGAAGATTAGATAATAACCAAAGATAAACATAGCTTTCATTGACCACAACGTACTCTATGCCCGCACGAATTAATAAACGACAGCAGCGCGAGCAGGAAGAGCTTTTTGCGCTAGGAAACCAGCCTGCTGCAGCCGTTGATGCGGACAGCGAGGAGGAACCAGCACCGATAGCACCCCCGGGGTTTGCAGCGGTAAGTCCAACCCTGGGACAAATCTTTGCGGAGATCGTAACGATGGACCCAGCTTTCCATCGCAGAAGATGACCATGTTGGATCTGAGAGCGATGACGAAACATCTAAGCCTACAAAGGCAAAGAAGGCGCGTAACTGTCATATACTATGATTCGAGACCAACTGACTAATTCGAACGCAGGCAAAGAAGAAGAAGAAGAAATCAGCAGCATCCGATGCACCGACAAACCCTCAGCAGGCTAAACCTGCTGAGGCACCAAAGCTTCAGCAGCCTAAATCTGTAAAGAAAGGCAAGGGAAAAGAGAAGAAGAAAGACGGCCTGGATGATCTAGACATGGCGCTCGCAGAGCTTTCCCAAAAGTGCGTCTAAAATTTTAGCTGCCAGTCGATGTGCTCATCAACGCAAAGATACCCAGAACTCCAAAGCGTGGCGGCTTCCTCGTCATCAACTACTCGAAACGCATCTCTTGCATCCCTTCTATCCGTCTCAGTATCCAACCTCGATGCAGAAGCAGAAATGCGCAAGTTCTTTGGCGCAAGAGCTGTCATAGCTGCAAAATCGTCAGAGACTTCCTCCTCTGGCGGCTCCAAAAAACGGAGAGGCGTTGCTCCAACCCAGACTCAGCGCTCGCAACTTACACGACCCCATCCATCATGGGGCATGATCAAACAACGTGAAGGCCTCTCTTCTCGCCCATTGACCGGCGAGGAGGTGCAACAAAAGATTACAGATCAAAATAGCCCAGCCGCAGCAGACAAGTGGTGGACTGTTGAGTATAGTAAGAGGTACAAGGGTGTCACAAAGACCTTTATGCAGGCTGTATCATCAGGAGGTAGTGTTTTTTTATCGTACACCTTTTCATAAAGCTCATAGCCATGCCTGCGACTAGATCCTGAAACGTTGTGGAGAGTTTTGCAGAAACTTCCGTGGCATGGCGATACACTGCTGCAGCTGGCAGAGGTGTATCGTCATCAAGAAGGTCAGTGGTCCATTTTCGATCATGTTCCTGTTATCAAATCATATCAGAATACAGCCAGGCTGTGGAATACGTGGATCGGGCGCTCTTCTCATATGAACGCGCTTTCTTAGGGTCATATAGCTTCACGAATGGGCTCAACCGCCTCGATTTCAACCGCGTCGAGAATCGTCCCTTCTTTCTTGCGTTGCATCGGCAGGTCACGTATGTCCTTCTCTCCTATACATATATCTTCTGGGAGACTAACCTGCCACAGTGATCTCCAGCGTCGCGGATGCATCCGTACCGCATTCGAATTTGGGCGCCTTCTATACTCCCTCGAACCATGGACGGATCCACACGGTGTCCTGTTCCATCTTGACTTCGTTTCCATTAAATCAGGTATGGGGCAATGGCTCTTGGACGTATATGCCGAGTTTGCTGGCGTAAGGACGGCATCCGAGGATCATTTGAATCCGAGCGCGCTGCCTGGATGGGCGTATGCGAGAGCCCTGGCGCTTTTTGCGAGGGAGAAAGCAGGTGGGGGGCAGGTAAATTTCCTGATCGTACCATCAGCAGTGTATTGATCTTGAAGTGGTAGAGCTTAGGAAGCAGCACGGACGCGCTGAAGCAGGCTATGCTAGCCTTCCCAGAGGTGGTACCACTACTGGCCGACAAGTGTGATATTTCATTATCTCCAGAGCTGCGCGGACACAGAGCATTCAGAATTCAGACTGACGGAATGTGCGTTGAATTGATCTGTCACATGACTTACCCGCGTACTGACGGCCATTGAAGTGGGCTGTCACCTGCACAAAGCGTTCTCCACCTCTTATCTCATCTCTATGCTCAGCGATCCGCACCTCTCTGGAAATCCGCTTCACATATGAAATGGTTCGAAAGCACCGCTAATGGAATTCAACCGTCGCTCAACGCCCAACGCTCCAATTCAACTCGTGAGCGGTTCCTCCAAATGTACTCCTCGACAACGCTTCGCTACTCTGTCTACCGACATATCCTCGTCCTCGAGCAAAGCTTCCGGAACCTCACCCCCTTCATTCCACGCTCTGTCTTGCTAGCCAAACAGCTTGCATGCGACCCACTTCCACCACTGACAGCATCCTCCGAATACAACGACGCCTTCTTTGCAGGTGCAGAAGAGATCTTCAGCGTGCGCCCTCGCCGACGGGACGCACGCGCGCTGGAGCGACTCATCCCAGACGCAGGTGTCAGGGCGCAGATCGAAGCGCTGTTTGATGCAAATCCTGGGCTGGCAGGGCAGTTGCCTGGTGGCGTGGTGCAGCTTGTGCAGATGATGGCGGAGATGCCGGATGAGGCGTTGGATGATATGATGCTTGGTCTTGCGATGGGTGCTGGGGAGGGTGGTGTTGGTGTGCCAGGTGGAGGGGGTATGCCAGGTGGATTGCCGATGGAGGGGGATAATGATATGCAAGACTTAGAACCGATGCCTCCGAGAGGTGCAGCGGAAGCGGCGCCAGCGATGGCGGACGAGGATGAAAGCGAGGAGGAAGATGAGGACGAGGACGAGTATATTGCTGTGAGTTGCTTTCTGATGTCTGGCTTGTTCAACGAAGGTGCTGATGTGATTGTTTCAGCCCATGCCCATACGGGTTGTGAGGAATCTGTTGAACAGGTTTTGGGGAGGTGGCGGGGCTACGGCTAACAGTGACGAATCTGATAGTGATGCTGAGGAACGGGACCACGACGGTGTTGACTAGGGATATGCACGAGTGTTTGATTCTGCGCGAGCCAAGTGTGCTTATAGCCCCTTCCATGTCAAATTTAATGCATTTATTTCATGGATACCGTTCAAACATCCATAATGTGTCTGTCATTGCAGCCCCCAAGCCTATTAAACTTTGGATAAGTTTCTGATCGCATCCGGGTAGGTGATGACTAAGCTTTGATACTCATTGGCAAGGTCAACGCTTGCTGTATCCTGCACGACGATGTCCAAACTGTCATTCACTGTCCGCAAACCCCCAGCAGCCGACGACGACAGAGCCAGCGACAAATTTAAGCTCTCAGCACTCCCTCGTCACCTCTCTAGTGCCGCAAGCTCTGCTTCTGGTACCCCATTCACAGGTTCTCCTCGTACTTTCAGTTCTCGGGAGGATTCCGACGACGACGACGAGAGCGGGATCGTGTTTGCTGATGGTGGGCGTAAAGATGAGCCTGACTCTAGCGATGATGAAGACAACCGTCTCGAGGACGAGCTTATTACTTCTTTCAACAAGTTCGGTGCACAGCGGTGCGTCTCTTTCCACTCTTTTCAACATTTCTACAGCTCACAAAAGGTCAATGTGTTACTTATATCACCTAGTGTAAATGGAAAAAAGCCAAAGACCAAAGCTCCTACGGGCCCTCTTGTCATCCCTTCGAAGCCAAATCCTGACTGGCGGGAGGCAGCACGGAAACGTCGTGCAGGTGCTGCACGATTCATCCCTGACTCGGCCAAAGCGAACACAGGTGCAGATGGCAGCGTTGGAGGGCTTGGAACGCGCGATACCATCAACTCCGGCCCCCAACTCTCAGGTATCCAGTTCGGCGACAAGAAAGTCAAAATCGAGACAAGCACGACATCTACTGATGAAGAGACAAGTTTAACAGTAGAAGAACATGCAAAAATGGATGTTGTAGAAGAGACGGAAGACCAAAAAGCCCTTCGTGCGCTGCTAGCTGGAGATATGGACTCGGCTCCCCAGATCGATACCATTCCCGTTCCTCCCAGCGAAACTGACGCCCTCCAACAAGACGTCGCTGATCTTCCGGATGTTGCTACTATCGATGACTATGCGCGTGTACCCATCACTGCGTTTGGAGCTGCTATGCTCCGCGGCATGGGTTGGGTGGACGGCGGGGCTGTTACAAACTCAGAGAGAGCGAAAAAGAATGCGCTGGTGGAGCCTTACCTACCTAAATCACGCCCTGCACTCTTGGGTATTGGAGCAAAGGAGCAGGAGGTGCTGGATGATGGCAGTAAAAAAGAAGAAACGGCGAGGAGACGAGAGGCGGTATATCCCGCTTGTGAGACAGGAGAGCAGTAGGGAGGAAAGCAGGAATGGGAGTGCGACTGTTTCGAGAAGGGCTTCGCGGTCACCTGAGTGGAGGAGAGGAGGAGAGAACAGTAGGAAGGATGATGATCATGAGAGGAGGAGTGATAGAAGGAGGGATGATGACCGCGACAAGCCTAGGAGAGAAAGTAATCGCGATAGGCGACGAGAACGCGACCGTGACGATCTGGGAGACAGAGACCGGGATGACAGGAGGAGACGAGACGGCAGTAGAAGGAATAGTGACACGGACTTGGACCGAAGGGACCGAGATCGTGATGTCGATAAACGTCGTGACAGAGTCCGGGACTATGACGACCGCGATCGACGCAGAGATGGTGAGAGCAAACGGGAAGGACGGGACAGACGAGATTGATTATGGTACCATCACGCCTTTCATCCAGATTGACTATTGTCGTAGATCTATGTATTGTGGTATCTTGTGCTGAACACGCTGTCTCGAGACGTTTACTCTAACTTGAATCCGTTGAATCCGTGAGTTAAACTTAGATATACAACAGAGATTATGTGCCATTCTCATCATTTCCTGGTAGTAGCGGTAAGTAGTACTACTGTGCCTGAGAGCATGCCTTTGCGCAACGAATGTATTTGACGCGCACGAAGATGAGCATGCCGTTGTGCTTGCCTGCGACTGGGTAGGTGATATCTACGGATTTGTAGAGCTGTTGGGAAGCGGCATGGTTAGCGAGCGAGCGGACTCGGCAGTAAATGAAATTACCTTGCACTCCATGCTAAAAGCGCTTGCCTTGACGCAGGAGGCCTTTATTTGCACCTGAACACCTCGTTGTTAGCGCATATATCGTATCACGAAGGTGCACGCATACTTTGTCAAACTGCTGATACTCCACTCGTCGAAGCCGGGAGGAGCTTCTATGGCAGTTGCAGTTGCATGTTCGACGAATGGCTCCCTGTGAATCCTTGGCTGTTCTCCAAGTTCGCAGTCGTGTCTTTGAAGCGGCCCAGAGCGCCGTGGTTGCATGCGAATAAGATGATAGGCGGGTAGTTCGTGACTTGTGGGAAAAGGTTTGTTTTTGTGTGTTGCTCACTGTGTGAAACCAACTAGTAGATACAAGCCAGGTAAGCATACAAAGCGCGTTAGATTCCGAAGGTGCATCTTACCTGAACAGTGCCAGGTTCTCTCCGCCCTACTCACTGATCGTGGACACGAATCTCATAGCACGACGCCTGAAATCAAGAGCTTGTAGATATCGCTGTCGATCGCGATCATGATTGCGGCTGAACAACAGGTCGAGGGGTACATATGTCTTTTCAGTTTCTGCTGTGTTAGACTTTCTACCCTGCAGATTCGCCTGCGACCCAATCTTTTCTGGCAGGGGTGATATCAATTCTCTGACCGTACGTCCAGGATAGAAGTAGGAGGTGGAATTGAATGGAGGGATGGACATGGTAGGCCAAGGTTTCAAGCCTCGTGTCCTGGGCGTCTAACTCGAATGATACACGAAGCAGGTTGAGGCTGTGAAGAAGCATAAAAAGGCCCGGTACACACACCTCTGGAGCTCACCGTGACAATCTCTCCAGCAAGTTGTGCTCACTGCTCAACACCCTCCGCCTCGAGTAGAATGACGGAAGTAGAACAACCCGCCATTCAAATCACCACGGCTATTCAAACATTTGAAGGTCATAAAAATAGTGTCTTTGCAGCCGCAGTCTTCCCCGATAGACGCCGTATGGTAACGGCCTCGGGAGACAAGACGCTGCGTCTTTGGGACTTGGAAGATGGTGTTGTATTGAAGATAATGGAGGGGCATCGCAACGCAGTATACAGAGTTGCAGTATCAAGAGACGCGCAATTCATAGCAAGCGGTGATAAGGGCGGAGAGCTCATCGCCTGGAACAGAGACGGCGAATCTCTCACCCAGCCCATCAAAGTCCACTCCAACTATATCTACTCGCTCGATTTTTCCCCAGACAGCACAGTGTTGGCGAGCGGCTCATTTGACACCACAACGGTTCTCTGGAATACAAAAACACGGCGGGTGCACGGAGATCCAATCAATTGTGGGCCTGGCGCGGAAATCAAATGCATTCGGTATTCACCGTCTGGTGAACATCTTGCCATCGCAACAAAGACAAATATCCAAATATGGAATCCAGGCAGGAGGGAATGCATCGCAAAGTTCCAGGGTCACTCTGCGTTCAATGGAGCATGGAATTTTACACTCGCGTGGACGCCCGATGGTAAACAGCTTATCTCGACTGGCACCAAGAGTGATCCCACCATACGGATCTGGGATTCATCGACCTGGATGCAGCACGGTGAACCCTGCCAGTGGAAGGGCCATACTGACTCGGACACTCCCTTCATCATGATGATCGCCTTGAACCCTACTGGCACCCTTCTCACGTTCGCATCATGCCACCAGGTTGCCCTTTTGCGGCTTTCAGATCGACGAACCATCGCCATATTCAAGCACCCCAGTGAGGTGTATTGTGCCACCTTCTCCACGGATGGCAAGCACATCCTGAGTGGAGGTAGGGATAAAATGATTTCAAAGTGGGCAGTGCCTTTGTCGGAGGACATTCGCGAGGAAAAGGCATCAGATGCAAGCTTCTGTTCATTTTCCTTCCCTGATTCATCTCATTTTCTTCAAGGATGTGTTACGGGAGGATACCCCAAAGGAACAAGTGGCAGATGACGTAAGTTCCCATTATTTGCCCGTCATCTTGCAAATTGATCCTCAATCTTAATGGCAAGGTTCAACAGTCTGATTGCGAGGCATGTTTATAGCCTTCACTTCTACCATGTAATCTGACCATGCATGATGCAGATCCTTACCATCAACACGACAGCCCGCGATGCATGCATAAGCGGGGACTTGCTCAGTGCTGACAGGTCGTTATCACAAGATATCGGCGCAGATGGCAACGACTACAACTCTTATGCGAATCGCTCGTTTGTCAAGTCAAGAAATTCAGATTGGGACTGCGCACTTGATGACGCGCTCAAAGTGAGATGCACCGTTCCGTCGTGACCGTTTTAACACAGACAAACTTATATGGTGCTCTAGAGCATCAGTATTCAGCCATCCTTGATGGGTTGTATCTCCATGGGCATCGCCCACTGTGGAAAACGACAGTTTCAAGACGCGATGAAAGCATTTGACCTCGCGTTCATGCACGTGGACGCAGACTTGAATAAAACTCGTCTTCTACTCTTGATTAAGGTACGTCAATAGTGTCTCATGTACTCACTACTTACACGACAGCTGTCAGGCCATCGCCCTTTTCAATGCAGATCAACATGACGAGGCAATTCTGCGCGTGCAAGAGCTTGCTACCACTCGTCCCAATCCGAATTCTCTTGCATGTGGTATTGTAGAAGTGAGTGCCCCTGACACAGTAAACTCCATATTCATGCGTCGATCCTGATTTTGCGAACCTTGCACTTCAGGCTTATCTACACGTCCAAGTGGGAATGAATGCATTAGACGACGGACGTCACAACGAAGCTGTCGACCACCTCGCTTCCGCTGTCAACACTATCGGTTTCCCGTCTATGTCTGCCATCCATTCTAAATATGATGTCTTCGTCGTGGTAGGTTGATTACAATGCAACTAGAAATCATTTTTTCACGCCCGATTGTGCTTTTTCTAGTTATTCGGGTGGGACCTCAAGTCGTTGTGGCGAACTGCACACCGGAATTGGTGCCATGCGCTCCTTCGGGCCGGTAGACTTCCAGAAGCCATCAAAGTATACCAATGCATAATGGATAGGGCTGATGAGGCTACGCAAGCACGCTGCCTTGATTGGTCCGCTGGCAAGTCTTCGTGATGTCAACCGTGTATAATTCTCAACCTCATCTCACTTAGCCTTCAAGCATGATTGCAGCGTGCTCTATGCTGTGGGCGGAGATGACGCCCTCGCTGCAGGTATTTACGACAGAGCCATCGAGCTTTACTCTGCAGCGATCGACCTCGATTTGGCAACCGATACCATCTTTGCGAACCGCAGTAAGGCGAGGTTGGAAAAAATGCTATGGGACGATGCACTCCTTGACGCAGAAAGGGTGCGATGACAGTTACCGTTTGGTATCCGACGCTCATTTTAGTGATACGCAGGTCATCGAACTCAACATCTCGTCTTACTTTGGATATCAGTTGAAGTATGCGGTGCTTCATGGCGCACGCCGATATGATGAAGCCATCGAGGCGTTCAAAATCATGCTCTCGAAGTTGGAAAATGCTCCCGACACGGAAACAACAAGTAAGCCCCAAATAGCACATCCCTCAACATTGTTGACTCTTTGTCCAGACTTGCGACAACAGTATGTTAGTCCATCCGAAGTAGAAGGAGCTATTCAAGAGACCATCAATGCTCAACTAGACGACATCCCGCGTCATCTGATCAACACCTCCACTGGGCGCTTATGCAGTCGCGAGGTACAGACCAATGCCTTCAGAATGAGCGTAGAGTACAAAGAACTTTTGTCATCCACCACGAAACATGCAGACCTTCAAATGGAGCGCATCAAAGACGTGGTGGCGATGTACTTCCGTTATGCCATGCTATCGCATAGGTGGGAAGGGATGGAGCCGTTGCTGCAAGACATCCAGGGCAGGGTGGTATACGACTTGGATCCAGTCGGCGGCATCCCGAAGCTGCGGTCGTTCTGTGAAACCGCTCGTGATAAAGGGTATCGCTGGGCATGGATCGATACTTGTTGCATCGACCAGACTAACAATGTTGAGGTCCAACAATCGGTCAACTCCATGTTTATCTGGTATCTCCACTCAGCGCTTACCATCATCTACCTGTCGGATGTTCCATCTTCATCGCAGCCTGGGGCACTCGCAAGCAGCGCTTGGAACACGCGAGGATGGACCGTACCGGAATTCCTTGCCCCAAAAGCCATCTGCTTCTATCAAAGTGACTGGACCCCGTATCTCGACGATCGCTCTCTCAACCACAAGCAGTCTGTTGCGATCATGCAAGAGCTGGAGGATGCGACGGGGATAGATGCACAAACTCTTGTTGCCTTCCGTCCTGGAATGATCAATGCCCGCGAGAAACTGCAGTGGGCGTCACCACGTGCCACCACAGTGGAGGAAGACATCGCGTACTCATTATTTGGAATCTTTGGTGTTCAGCTCCCTATCATGTATGGTGAGAAAAAGCAAAAGGCGCTTGGGCGGCTCTTGCAGGAGATTGTCGCTGAGTCTGGGGACATTACTGCCCTGGACTGGGTCGGAACATCATCCGAATTCAACAGCTGTCTGCCTGCCGACATCACGTCATATGAAGCCCCACCGTACACGCCGCCGTCTATATCTGAAGACGAGATGCAGAGATCGGTCTCGTCGCTGACAGGCACTGCGGTTGTCGAGTTAGCATTGAAATTGTACAGCTCGCTCGACCGCCTTAGCGCTCCACTTTTTGCTCACCGCCGGCTGCATCTGCCATGCATCGCATTCCCTGTCACAGAAATCAGACGGAGACCCATTGAACACGAGGAGACCTACTTCACGTATGAAGTCAAGGCAGACGGGCTTCATGACCTGATGATCACCACGGAAGACGTGTTGCCTCAGTTCTCACGAGAAAGTCCCACTCGACGGTCATTCTTACTTGTCTGTCCCTGGGATCGTCGCCTCCTTGAGCTGCCTGACTATACAGATGACACAGACAGCGTGGATGGCGATGACTCCGCTCTGCCTGAGTTGCCCGGAGAACAAACCCCGGTTGATTCAGAGTCGAGCGAGCGTGCAATACGATTGATTATTCGCCTCAGACAGCCGTTCAGTGCATTCCTGCTAGTGCAGCAACGCGGCAGAGAATACAAGAGAATCGCATCAGATCATAATATCATTACACAAGTCAAAGACGTTGATTCTGTTCACGCCATGATGGACGTCAGGACGCTAGATATATTGTAGCTATGTGCTAATTTGTTTTGGAAGAAATAGATCTCTTAGCAGTTTTCATTCTCGATACTTCCTTCTTTACATATGTATGTTACCCAATCATTTACTTATGGTGTCTCTTCCCCGACTCATTTTGCATTGCTACATACAAGGTCGGTGATCAAATGTGCCAGTCTCATCATTTCATGGTAGCAGTAGTAGGTACTACCGACTTTACCTTTGGTTAATCACTTGTCAAAAGCTGTTGTCAAGTTCGAATCACTTTCGCCGGTGTCACGCCGACACGTGTAGTTCGATGACTCGAATGGATCCTAGGCTATGTTGTCATGATTGGCGCAGGTATGACAGTATTCGGCTCACGGATCCTGTATGCATCTTCAACCCGGAAATATGAGATGTTGTCCAAACGCGTGACAGGCTTAAACTTTGTGAGGTGTCTGAACACGCCTTTGCGGACGTGGATGTACTTGACGGGTGCAAGAATGAGCGTGCTGTTGTACTCACTTGTAACTGAGTGGGTGATATCTATGGATTTGTAGAGCTCTTGGGAAGCGGCATCGTTAACGAGCGAGCGGACTCGGCAGTAAATGAAATTGCCTCGCACTCCATGCTAAAAGTGCTTTCCTTGACGCGGGAAGCTTTTATTTTCACTTGAACACCCTGTTGTTGGCGCATATATCATATCACAAAGGTGTACGCGTACGCATTTTCCTTTGTCAAACCGCTGATAGCCCACTCGTCGAAGCCGGGAGGTGCATATAAGCCAGGTAAGCGTGCAGAGCGCGTTAGATAACGGAGGTGCGTCTTACCTGAATGGTGCCAGATTCTCTACGCCCTCCTCGCTGATTGTGGACACGAATGCGATGGGGTATAGTACAATGCCTGAAATAAAAAGCTTGTATATATCGCTGTCGATCACGATCAGATTGCGGCTGGACAACAGGTCGAGAGGTACGTACGTCTGGTCTGTTTCTGTTGTTATAGACTTTCCACGCTGCAGATTCGCGTTCATGACTAGCACAAAGACCACCCATTAGAGGAGTATAATCAGAAGATGGTGCACATCAATTGCTGCAATCACGTAGAAGCTAAGCCATTTAAAAGTCTGGCAATAGACCAGTCAAGTCATGATGAGACACTGTGGGACAGACAGTTTCTTCTCGAAAACCTCCGCAAAATAAATAGAGCCTTCGAAATAGGAGGGGAATCCAGCAGGGAATGGCGAGATCGTGAGACTGGTCTGTTCTCGAGTATAGAAACACCAATGTTAGTGAATGTAATGCGCGGCCCCGGTTGCGTGATAGATGTGCGGTTAGGACCATTGCTATGATGGAATGAACTACGATGAGCTAAATGCATGCTACATGAGATAATAATGTAAGTAGGGGTCCAGGCCTTTGATCAGGAAACAACGTATCAACACAAAAAGTTGCTTCACTGATTTGTTGACAAATGCAGGCTTAAATTATGTAAGCGCTGGATCGTGATAGCCAATGAAAATCGTTTGAGCGTTTACCTTCTGGCGCTCGGTTTTCGATTTTTGTTGATAGTCACCCAACCAGGATCCTTTAAGTTCAAGTTCTCTCTCTATGATACACCAGCGTATTTTGGTTTTGTCTCGTTTTGTTTTGTTTTCTACGGCCCTCGAGGCTCGATCACAACACGCTCTTGCAAGTGTCTGTTCCATCTGTCCGGTTCTTTCAAAAAACCTTCAGTTTTCAACCTCTAAAATCCGGACTTAAAGCGTTCCTCCCAGACCATGCAGTCTGGCAGAGCCAGACCCTGCCCACCATTATGAATTCTTCGCTTTCGTTGTCGCTAACCAATCTTTCTACTTCACTCAAATTATTCTCGTTGCCTGTGCTCCACCAATCAATGCGCGAAAAACTGCTCAAATAATCCCATTAAACAAATCTTATCAATCTTTAATCTCAGACGAGTGGAAACGATGTTTGTTCGTTCAATGGTCTGTTACGATGGCCCTGATACTTTAATAGGCTACAAATGCAGCAGGAGTCAGAACCACCGACAAGACGCGTCTCATCATGGACAAAGTCAACGGCATATCTGCTAGCGATAGGGGTGATGTTTGCGCTCTTAACGCCTTGATGAAGATGACAAAGGCATGTTTTGATCTGTCCACTCGACCAAATATCTTACTGTGTTATTCAGATCCCTATCATCTGTATCGCTAATGATAGAGGCGCTCAGAAGCTGAAGCCACTCATCGCAAATACTTTTGGCATGTCATTTCGACAATATGTTGAACTCAATTTCAGGAGTAACACGACCTCACTGGAGCAACAGGCCCGAAGCTCAAGTTGTCCGATGACGCATAATGACGATCGCGTACAAGTAAGTTGTCTTTCAATTATATTGACATCATGCTGATGTCGTCGACTAGGGAGAGAATGAAGATCCCTGCCAACGCCATCGATCAGCTTATCACTGCCTCTCAGTCAGATATTTGACAAGCTTTGAATATGTTATTGATGTGGCAACTATCCAATAGCATCATGAACTTTAACGAGGTAAATAATCTGTACGTGAAAAAAAATTGCTTGTACCTATTCAATGATCTTCGCACGTCCTATGTCCCAAAAAAATGACCCAAAAGTACATAACTTGCATGTGTTATCTAGTGTCCCATTACTTTGCAAATCAAACACAATCACATGAGCGTAGCATGCCTAGCAAGAGTTATACGACTTCGAGCTGCCATGGAACAAATCTATGGTGGTCCACGGGCCCAATGGATATGGAGTACCTCCAGAACGAAGGAATTGAGATACGTGGACATTGGATGTACATTAGATTCTGCAAAGAAGCAAGACGGAATCACTGACTCGTCCGGTTGCAAATAAATATCATACGACTCATCAACGAAATCCCGAATTGTGTCATTGAATGCGCTAGTACAATCTGTACACTGCAATTCAGCTGCATCCACTAGTGACACTGCTGATGCCTTGATAAACATTTTCGTTAGCGCTAAATTGCAAATCATGAAGCTTCTTCGTCGTCCAAGGCACTGCCAGGCGTCTGTACTACTAAAGTCCTTTTGAAATCCTGATAATCTTCGAAACCCAGTGGCAGGAATGTAAACATCCAGTCTGAAAGTTCTATTTGTGCGCTGCCATAAAGTTTCTGGCCAAATAACGAGTGCATGAGCAAGAACTCGGACGTTAGAAATTCGATGCCACAGAACAATATTTTGAGAGTTGACTGTCGTGCAGCAAGACTCCTTCCGAAAATATGACTGTATCGCAGTCATTGACTATTCCCTGCGAGATATGGAAGGAGACCGGGATAGACCCCAGTCTATTCAGAGCAACATAGAGTAATCGATGATTTGAAGCCACGACAATGACGACAAGTTTTGCGGATCTCCTGGTGCGAACTCAAATTCGAGTACGAGAGATCAATAGTTCTAGATTTCAGATGAATAAATAATTACAAAAATGTCCGTCCCAGAAGGAAGAGCGAACGAAAGCCGCCGACCTCAGCTGTGCAGAGATGCGTCTGACCCACCCACATGATGTGCTCAACTTCATTACGAAGCCTCGCAGCCAGCGAGGCTAGACCAACTTCATATTTCATGAATGCAACACGCCCCCACTGCGAAAGCTCAAAGGAGGGCCTTGACTTTGTTGGGTTGGATTTGACACTGTCGAGGTTTCCGAATGTCGTTAGATATGATCGCGCACCAGAATTAGTGAAGAGGGAATCAGGTAGCTTGAAGCGTCAAATTGACTTCAGACACGTGTGAGGCAAGCTGCGACACTGGTAAGTTGGAAGACTAGAAGTATACTTGCTGACTAAGCTATCTCACGGCTATCCCGAGTTTCAAATTGAAACCCTCGCGTCCTCCAGGTTGGGCAGTGGGCTTCTAATGATACATGAAGCAGTTCGAGGCTGTGAAGAAGCACAAAAGCACGCACTTCTGAATTCTGGATCAAGACGCCCACAAGCTCTCCAGCAAGTTGTGCTCAACACCATCCATCTCCAGCAAAATGATTGAAGTAGAACAGCCCGCCATTCGAATCACCACGGCTAGTCGAACATTTAAAGGCCATAAAGATAGTATCTTTGCAGCCGCAGTCTTCCCTGATAGACGCCGTATGGTGACAGCCTCGTATGACAAGACGCTTCGTCTGTGGGACTTAGAAACCGGCGTTGTGTTGAAAAAAATGGAGGGGCATCACTTCGGCGTACGAATACTTGCAGTGTCAAGAGACGGGCGATTCATAGCAAGCGGTGATGATGGTGGAGAGCTCATCGCCTGGAACAGAGACGGCGAATCTCTCACCCAACCCATCAAAGTCCACTCCAAACATATATGGTCGCTCGATTTTTCCCCAGACAGCACATTGCTGGCGAGCGGCTCATGGGACACCACAGCGGAGCTCTGGAACACAAAAACATGGCAGGTACAAGGAGATCCAATCAATTGTGGTGCTGAAATCCGCTGCGTTCGGTATTCGCCGTCTGGCGAACATCTTGCCATCGCAACAGACAAAGATATCCAAATATGGAATGCAGGCAAAAGGGAGTGCACCGCAAAGTTCCAGGGTCACACTGCGTTCAATGGAGCATGGAATACTTCACTTGTGTGGATGCCTGATGGCAAACAGCTTGTCTCGGCTGGTAGTAATTCTGATCCCACCATACGGATATGGGATTCATCGACCTGGATGCAGGTCGGTGAACCCTGGAAGGGCCATACTGTGGCTGTCTGCATGATTGCCTTGAACCCTACTGGCACTCTTCTCGCATCCGCATCTGTAGACCGCCAGGTTCGCCTTTGGCGGCTTTCGGATCGAGTCGATCGACAAACCATCACCATATTCAAGCACATCGATGAGGTGTATTGTGTCACCTTCTCCAAGGATGGCAAGCACATTCTCAGCGGAGGTAGAGATCAAATAATCTCAAAGTGGACAATACCTTTGCTGGAGGACATTCTGAAGAGCCAGGTATCAGATGTAAGATCCTGTTTATTTTCCGTCCTTTCCTCATCTCATTTTCTCCAAGGACGTGTTACGGGAAGACACTTTGAAGGAACATGTGGCAAATAATGTGAGTTCATATTCATTGTCATTAGATTCATCTTCTTGCATATTGATCTGCGATTTTAATTCCTAGGATCAACAATCTGATTGCGAGGCTTGTTTCCAGCCCTCATTCTTACAACACAATCTGACCATGTGTGATGCAGATCTTCGCCATCAACACGACAGCCCGCAATGCATGCATAACCGGGGACTTGCCCACTACTCACAGATTGCTTACTCAATATATTAACGCTGATAGCAACGACTACAACTCTTACGCGAATCGCTCGTTTGTTATGGCAAGACAAGCCGACTGGGACCGCGCACTCGATGACGCACTCAAGGTGAGATGCACTGTCCCATCGCGACCTTTCAACACAGGCTAACTGATATGGCGATGCAGAGCATCAGCATTCAGCCATCCTTGATGGGCTGTATCTCCAAGGGAATCGCCCTCTGCGGTAAAAGGCAATTCGAGGACGCGATGAAAGCATTTGACCTCGCTTTCATGTTCGTAGACGCAAATGTCAATAAAACACATCTCCTGCTGTTGATTAAGGTGCTTTATTTTTTGTCTCGTACAGTCGCTACTTACATGGCGTCTGTCAGGCCATCGCCCTTTTCAACGCAAATCAACACGATGAAGCAATTCTACGCGTCCAAGACCTAGCCACCACTTGCCCCAATGTCGATGCTCTTGCCTGTCAAATCGTGGAAGTGAGTCTCTTGACACAGTCAAGTCCAGATCCACACGTTGGCACTGATTTTTGCGAACCTCGTACTTCAGGCTTATCTACACGTCCAAGTGGGAATGAATGCATCAGACGGCGCACGTCACAACGAAGCTGTTGGTCACTTCACTTCCGCTGTCAACACTATCAGTTTCTCGTCTATGTCGGCCATCCACTCTAAATATGATGTCTTCGTGGTGGTATGTTGATTGCAGTGCAACTCAATCATTTTTTCACTACCCACTTTACATTTTCTAGTTGTTCGGGTGGGACCTCATGTCGTTATGGCAAACTGCACACCAGAATTGGTGTCATGCGTTCCTTCGAGCAGGCAGACTTCCAGAAGCCATCAAAGCATACCAATATATGATGGATACGGCTGATGAGGCCACGAAAGCACGCTGCCTCCATTGGTCCACTGGCAAGTCTTCGTGATGTCAACTGGTTATAATTCTAAACTCAATTTCACTTAGCTTTCAAGCGAGATTGCACCGTACTCTATGCTGCTGCCGGAGAGACTAACCTCGCAGCGAGCGCAGATACTGCCCTCGCTTCAGGTGATTACGACAGAGCTGTCGAGCTTTACTCTGTGGCGATCGACCTCGATTTTGCGACCGATAACACATTTGCGAACCGCAGTAAGGCGAGGTTGGCCAAAATGCTGTGGGAAGATGCACTCCTTGACGCTGAAAAGGTTCGATGACAGTTACCGTTTCCTATTCGACGCTCATTTTGATGATACGCAGGTCATCGAAATCAACCCCTCGTCTTACTTTGGATATAACTTGAAGCATGCGGCACTTCATGGCGCACATCGTTACGATGAAGCTCTCGAGGCGTTCAAAATCATGCTCTCCAAGTTGGAAAATGTTCCAGATACGGAAACAACAGGTAAGCGCAAAATAGCACATCCTTCAGTATTGTTGACTCTTTATTCAGACTTGCGCCAACAGTATGTTAGTCCATCCGAAGTAGCAGGAGCCATTCAAGAGATCATCAAGGCTCAACTCGACGACGTCCCGCATCGTCTAATTAACACCTCCACCGGGCGCTTATGCAATCGCGAGCTACAGATCAATGCCTTCAGAATGAGCGCAGAGTACAAAGAACTTTTGTCATCGATAACGAAGCATGCAGACCTTCAAATGGAGCGCATCAAACACATGGTGGCGATGTACTTTCGTTATGTCATGCTATCCCATAGGTGGGAAGGGACGGAGCCGTCGCTACATGACATCCAGGGCAAGGTGGTGTACGACTTGGATTCAGTCTGCGGCATCGCGAAGTTGCAGTCATTCTGTAAAACTGCTCGCGATATGGGGTATCACTGGACATGGATCGATACCTGTTGCATCGACCAGACTAACAACGTCGAAGTCCAACAATCGGTCAACTCTATGTTTATCTGGTATCGCCACTCAGCGCTGACCATCATCTACCTGTCGGATGTTCCACCTTCGTCGCAGCCTGGCGCACTCGCAAGTAGCGCTTGGAACACGCGAGGATGGACAGTTCAAGAATTCCTCGCCCCAAAATTTGTACTCTTTTATCAGAAGGATTGGTCCCTATATCTCGACGACCGCTCTCCCAACCATAAGGATTCCATTGCAATCATGCAGGAGATGGGAGATGCGACGGGCATAGATGCACAGGCACTCGTCGCCTTCCGTCCGGGGATGAGAGGCGCCCGGGAGAAACTTCAATGGGTGTCGGCGCGTGTCACCACGTGGCCTGAAGATATTGCATACTCATTGTTTGGTATCTTCGGCGTCAATCTGCCTGTCATTTATGGCGAGAAGAAGCAAAGGG